CCGGTCATCATGGGGCGTGGTCACCCTGGGTCTGCCTGTTCTTGGCCTGTCAGCGGTCCGCCCTGTCTGTCTGTAACGTTGCATCAAGTTGGTAACGGCAACACGGGAGCAACCGAAGGTTCGTGCAATATGGGCGTGGGTGGCTCCCATCTGTACCATACCCAAGGCTTGTTCACGTTGTTCGACTGTGAGTCGTGGCATTTCTTTTGTGTGTTTTTTATCACTGTGGATGTCTGACTTGCCGTTGCAAACGTTTTATACCCTTACCCGCACGTGCATTTGCAGTTGTCCGTGGTGCACGTGTTTTTCACGTTTTCGCGTTTTATCTCGCAAACATGTAACAGACGATTAACATTTTCTGCTTGCACTATTGTTGTATTTCGGTTATATGTTTTAGATAGACTTCATCGAAAAAGAAATGATACTTTGTCTGAAATTTATATTTTCAGTTTACCAGCATTGTATCCATTTCACACACACCAAGACCATACACTTACTTTAATATTAACAATAGTACATGAATGTTCCTGGGTTATTTTTGTACTTACACTTAATCAACAATATTGATGCTATTCACGTATATTGCAGTATTTTAAACAATAGAGTTAACTTTCCTTTCTGGACTATATTGGAGTGGCGATGTAGATGCAGTTTTTCCCCCAAGGGTGGACTAAAATCGACTTCGTTATTCCAAATGAAAGCTTTCATACTGTACGAGTCGTATTCGCTCTGCACAGTTGGGGTTTTTCGACATACCAGACATCAATAACCATGGGTCGAAACATGCCCCGGTTTTGCTTATTGGTTTGTCAGCACTATACCAACAGTTGTGAATGCCTCCCACACGAGACAATAACTGTGATACTGACTGAGAAACCGTTACCCCATTATGAACTTTTGCATTCTGTGTCAACATACACACATTGTTTTGGTTGTTGTGTATCGTTGCAGTATAAAACGATATATTTGTAACTACAACAGGAGTAGGTAATAGGTTTGATGTCCGATGCAATTCCCCATTTGGACTTGTACCATTATATTCCCGTTTACACCTGTTTGTTTGTTTTTTGTTTGTTTGTTTGTTTAACGGCGCACCCAACAATATTCCACCTAGCCGACGACGGTCTGTAAATAATCGAGTCTGGACCAGACAATCCAGTGATTGACATCATGAGCATCGATCCACGCAATTTGGATACGATGACATGCATCAACCAAGTCAGCGAGCCTGACCACCCGATCCCGTTAGTTGCCTTTTACGATAAGCATAGTCACCTTTTACGGCAAGCATGGGTTGCTGAAGACCTATTCTACCCCGGATCTTCAAGAGTCGATAAAAGGGTATCAGCATATGTGAAAATATAGTAACGTGAACCCAATATTTCAAATGTTGGAAACATACGATTATCTTGTTTAAGTACCGGAAATATGAGCATGTCAAAACTATTCAAACACGTGCCCGTGATATCTGGAATGATACATAACCTTCTAAGGCATGAAAACATTTGAAAATTAAAAATTTGCCAATGTTTTCCCACCAAAGGAAATGTCCATATTTCAAACCCTAGTAAACTTAGAAATGAGTCGGAAATTTCAGCACTCATTACAATAAAAAGGAATGCATTGTAAATACTCTATGATCAAGTATTTACTGCAGTAGCCACTTTTGAATTCATACTTTGAAATGTACGTAAATTGGTCGCAGCATTTATGACAATGGTGCTTTTGCATACGACAATACACGATGATCATACATTTCTTAAGTATACATAGCTTCATATGAAATAAACGCCCAAAGACGTCCATTGAATGCATATCCTACTGTATTTGAGTTTGTTTCAGTGGTGTAAAATCCGGCTTTTGGTCCTGTTTTCTAGGCTAGTTTCTTTCTGATAGTAAACCCCTCATTGCATTGAGTCTATATTGTGCACGATCTGAATTAAATACTATCGTGACTCTACGTGATAATGAGTAAGGGACATGTTTTTGTGTTTGAGGTATTTTTTAGAATCGGTTGATTTGTAAGATACATCTGTTCAATGTTACTGGATGATATTGTACCCATTACATCTAGTAACAAAATACTTTTATCTTTCATCGCTAAAGTAAACGTTGAACTAAGATGGAGTGTCTGTAAAATATCTATCGGAAACTGTCAATCTTGTTTACTCAGATTCCACAATTAAAAAAAACAATCATCTAAAAATCATTTTCCATTTGTTTTGAAATCCCTGTCGAAATTCAATGCGAATTGTTCACCAAATGTTGAGTACAATTTTTCCTCCAAATAGCCAAGTACAAGTGTTGCTTAAGTAATATCAAAGTATTATTGTTAAGAATAAATCGATAATGGATTCCAAGGTAATGTCATGCTTGAACGATGTTTAATTATCCAGTATTCAATACCTTTTATGCAGAGATCATGAGGAATGTTTGAATATAAACTAACTGCATCAACACTGACTAACTGAGTAACATTTTCGACTGAGGCGGATAGCTGGTTCAGAAAGTCTTTGGTATCTTTTATGTATCTTTTGACACGTTTGGTGATTGGTGTTAGCGCTTTATCCATAAGGTCACTGATTCTGTGTGAGGAACATTTGGGTGCAGCAATTATTGGTCGTAATCTTAAATCATATACAGGGGGTATTCTTGCATAAACAGAATTCAATATTTGACATTATTCTTGAATTTGTGCACTTATGAACTGAGAGGCCATAAAAATTACTTTCTTTTGATTCCTAATTAACTAAATAATCCTCTTCGTTTTTAGTAAGGCATTAAGAATGTGAATATACTAATCTTTTATGATTAAGTAATTCAGATTTCTCCGAACTGTCTGAAAGTTTTCTGTAACGAGATTCATCTTTTAAGACATCTAATTAGAGCGCTTGGTAATAATTGTTGTCCATATTATAGCGCCTCGCTTATCAGCTTCTTTAATAACAATTTAATCATTTATTGAAAATATGTTCCGAGCCACTGGTTCATTTTTTTAAATGTTTGTTTGACCTCTTCATGGGTTTACAGAAAGGGTAATCTTTGAGATGGTAAATAACTTTGTCCAACACTTTGTTATTACCAGGTTTTGAAGTAAAGATGCTTTTGTGTTTAATAATGAAGTATCTTTATTTCTGGCATCAATATCAAAATGATTTTGGCATCTCAATTTTCTCAGTCTATGGTCAGATATTTGCGCATACTCAGATTTATGGCAGATTATCATACAATATTAAAAATTATCACATAATAATAACAATATCTTTAGCGCTAAACGTCGCATATATTCGTGCATAGCGGCAGATCAATATTGTGATTTCTCCATTTTTACCATTTCCCCTTCCGGAACAGCATCGTCAGTGCAGGGACTGCATATCGGTACTTTTCTTAAAAAAACGTATATGACATATTTCCATCCGCACCATCATATCGTTTCCCGGAGTTGATAAAATCCTGAATATTTTCACTTCTTCCTCACTGGATTTTTGAAAATCACGAAAAAAGATTCGGCATTGGGGTGTTTTGATAATGGTTTCTTCCTCTGTCTGCATGAATCCGCCAAAAGAAAACCGTGCCTTATTTGTTATGAGAATATTACTTAGGGACATGGGTACATGGGGATGAGTAATTGTTGAAAAGACGTAAACAAAATTTGTGTCATGATATGCGTAAATACCTTGACACAGTTTCCATGTAGGGACATATTAGCACTTTTGGACAGTGTGACTAATTTATGTGTCAGGCTACAGGAGTAAACATATTACTATTAGGGAGGTTAAATATAACAAACGCACTCACAACGTTGTGGGTTTCAGTTTTAGCAATATCTGCATGTCTCCACAGATCTACTTCATTTTAAAGTAATACAACAGCAATGTAGCTATTAATTATTATGAATCATGTATACCATTATGATTGTGTCAACTTAATACCCCATATTCATTAAAGACAATAACAAATGTTTCAGGAAGACATATTTCTAGTTTTGTTTTCATATGTTTGCTTTCTACTTTTATATTACATAAATATTTAAACTGAATTGTGCCGTGTTCCTATTCCGGATCTTGAAGGTACCGCATTCAAATTACAATTTGTATTTTATTATATACTTCAGTGTGAAAGACTGAGTCGTCCAAAGTTGAGAAAAGGGATATTTTCATAACACTTAATGTTTCACTGCAGTGAACATAACACTTTGACGGAGCTATTGTCACACAAGAGTTACCTCCCCTCAAATTGTCTCCCTTTATCGTAAGTGTCTGGGCCCGTATTTATAAAAACTCTTAGAGTTGGAAGTAACCTTTAGGTGGCCCGTACACAAAGTGTTGGCTACCTTTTTACGTTCGTTCCACATTGATAAGGCAAAATAATGACAGATAGTAATTTATGGAGTTAATGTCGCTTCATGCCATTTGTTATTCTCTTGAAAATGTTTCGTTATAAACTGTAATTTTCTCAATTAACTCGTCAATCGAGGCTGTTCGTTTTGCAAAGCGCCATTTTTGTTACTTGACCAGCGTGTTTTCTTTCGCTTCCAACAGCTGTCTCGTACTTTTCAAGATTATTTTTTGTTAAAGTTGATTTTGTATATAATCATATCTATTTGTATGATACAGAATTTTCGTGACCCTAAAATATATTTTGTTACTTTTGTTTATGAAGTTTAAGATTTTGCAACCACGAAACTATTTCTTAAGTTGCAAATACCAGAGGTGGTGAACCGTCCCTATGTGATAGGTAGGGTGAATATATGATTCAAGGTTTTTCATTTGTAATTAAATAATTCAATTTTCCGCTAGACAACTACACAAAAGGTATATAATAAATAGGATATTCCATGTCTTTTGAAACATCATGTTTCTCTCATCTCGTGACGGGGGAAATAGAGAATATTTCATGTGTCGAGTGAAATACCATGAGAAAAAACATATTACCACATTTGCTTTTCACCCAGACACCAGATTTGGAGTTAATGGTCCATCCTCATATGTACATTTTAAAACGTGTGTCTTGCCATGTTTTCCCAGTCCGTGTGTGTCTTTTTAATGCACAACATGCACCTCACGTTGAACAGAAGTGTGTATCTGATACTTCAGACTATATTATTACCATATGCTTTCTTCCATCCAGACGAAAGATTAACCAACTTCACTGTGGAGGTCCATGCTTCTGACCCAATGACCAGCAACAACACCGGCCTACAAGTCTGCTATTTGCATGAAGGCACGGTGGGCAGCGGTCTGACGGTAGACTTGACCTGCGCCGTCAACACCATTGGACGTTACGTCAGAATTGTCAAGTACAACTCCGGTGATGCGCCCTTGACCTTGTGTGAAGTGGCGGTGAGGGGAGCCCCAGTGCGCAACACAGGCGGAGGTAAGGGAGTTCAGGTGACCTAACACAGTTGAGGGAGAGAGACTGCCAACATTACAGCCCCCCTGTCAAATTCTCTAGTCACTTCACTCCTCGAACACACATTCAGCTATCTGTCTGTAACTCTTTTTTTTTCTTTTTTACCATCTTTTTTTTATTATTCCATTTTATGTATATTGTTACAAGTGTAGGTATCAACATGTATATATATGACAGTATTAACACAAGTTATAGTTTTCATAGGTGAGGACAGGCAGGTTGTGTAGGATATGTCGTTTTCTCAAACTGAGAGGGAGATTATGAATATTTGTTTACAAGAAATAGATGATTACTTATTAACAGGTAGTATGTTTCAACTGCTTCGTTAGATTATGAGATGTAAGTTTTGCCATTTCTGAGCATATTGGTTAAATTGATTAATTTTTTTAGCGATAAAACTTTCCAAACAATTGTGTCTTTTAATAGTGAAAGAAATTGCTCGAAAGATAAATCTTGTTGTTTTATGTTTGATATGTAGATGAATCTTTTTGCTAGTATAATAATATGATTTGTTACATGGTTTTGAGTGGAAATACCCAAAAAAGATATTAAGTTTCGAAAGGATAAAATTTGTTTGCAGGTTGTTATTTAGGAAGTTTTCAACTTTAAGCCAGAATTGTTGAACAGATTGGCAATCGAAATATACATGAGACATATCTTCAGAAGCAGTTTTAGAGAAAGTACAAATATCTTCATCGACAAGTTTCATCTTGAGTAACTCTTTCTTAGTGTAAATTATTCTGTTTATAAATCGATATTGAAAATCTAAAAGTTTACAATCGCGCGTGCATTTTCTATAACATAGAAGTATATTTTTCCAATCCAAACCTTGAGGAAAAACCGTATTCCAGTGGTCTAATGATTTCGGTACTGTATCATTCCTAATTAGTTCATCATAAAAAGTCCTTGATTTTTTAACGTTATTAAAACAGTGTTTACATATATTGTTCAGCTGAACAACATTAACATCAAGGGTTTTGTCTCTGATTTGAAATCTCCAACTCTTTGGAATATTGTTCAGTAATTTTTGAAAGTCTAGAAAAGTTCCCTGGATCTATATTTTTGTTTGAAATTTTCAAAACTAAGAAAACCGTTGTTGTCGCAAAGGTCTCTAACACTCTGGACACCTTGATTAAACCAGTTTTTTTATAATATAAGATGATTTAAATAAATGATTCAGCCAGAGTGGTTGATTCAGAATGTGGTCTAAATCATATTCATAAAAACTCATTTTTTGGTAAAATATCTTCCAAGCAGACAATACATCTCTCCAATAATGGTTGTCATGTTTAGATAAACATTCTACAGCATTAGAACCAAGTTTGAAAAGATGTTTTAGAGGAAAGATTGTTGTAGAATCTTCATGCTTTTTTATATACTTTTGAAATGAAGATAGTTTGAGAGCATTAATAACACATTCAATATCTATCATCCTTAGACCTCCATCTTCATAATTTCTTCTAATAGTTGATCTCTTAATTTTTGTCGTTTTTGTTATTCCAAAGGAATCTAAAAATTAATGTGTTTAGGTCGTTAAAAAAAGCTTTCGGTGGATTGGGTAGAGCCGAGAAGATGTGTACCAGAGTTGATATAGCAAGAGTTTTGATAACCGTCATTTTTCCAATAAGAGTTAAGGTTCTTCTACGCAAATTAGCTAGTAGTCTATTAATATGTTCTAGTCTTTTTCTAGTATTCATTACCAAAAGGTCGTTCAATGATGCATTTAAAGTTATCCCTAAAATTTCAAAATCTCCCTTATGCCAATCAAGTTTAAAGTCTTGTGCTAAAACTAGATTACTTTCAGACAATGATCATATCCAAATTGCTTTTGTTTTTTCTCCATTTATTTTAAGTCCTGACATTTGATAGAAATTGTTGAGGGTATCCATTGAAGTATTAAGGCATTTTTCAGATCCATCCAGAAATAATTGAGCATCGTCCGCATACTGACCTAGTTTACTTTCCTTATCGTTAAGTGTTATACCTTTTATATCTGGGTTTGTTCTTATCATAATACCTAGAATTTCTACAGCGATAATAAATAAATAGGGTGAAATTGGATCTCCTTGTCTACATCCCCTCTCAAGCCTAAAAAATGATGATAGATGTCCATTTTGAATAACAGATGCATTTGTATTAGAAGTCAAAATACCCATTTTTTTAACCATTTTCTGTTCAATGTACATGATAATTATTTAGCATGCTCGTGAAACTAGAGACGCCTATGTCACTTGAGTGTCACACTGACACATACAATGGGAGTGAAACATGTTTTATAAAAAAAATTATTAAAAATTCATCATCATTTATTGTATTCAGGCCCTAGGTCCATATACATACAATAATATTATGTATATATACAATTTTGTACATGTACAAGTATAAACATGCAGACTTATATGCACAGAGATGTGCACGTGTACAATTTTGTGAAAAACAAATCGCATCATAACACAAAAGGAAGAGATTAAAGCATTTGATTAATAAAGGCAAATAACCTCAAGAATAATTAAACATCATTTGTACAAAGACGGTTGCGAAGTCGTAAACCATAATTAGTGTATAGGATAGTATTCTTTTGTTGCTCGTTAGAACGGAGGAGCTTGATTAGTGTATTGATGTTTTGGGTTAAACCTTGGAAATATTTTGTTCTGAGCGATTCATAACATGGACAGATAAGCATAAAATGGTATGCGTTTTCAATAAATGTGGGGCAAAAAGGACAAAAACGCATATTTAATCTATATAATCTAAAACGTGTAAAACACACTGTAAGATTTCTGTCTGTTATTTCTGTTAAGTACTGTTCTGGAGATAAGCAGAATTTAAACTCAACTGAACTCATACATCTTATAGTATACATCCCTTAATATGTTTCAGTATCATATGCCGTGTTCAGTCGTCACAGCACAGGAGCCAGGGAGTCTCACAACATCATCGCCAGCCATGAAAACATCCGGAACCTCGACTGTGCCAAGATGTGTCTCCGTAAGGCGACTTGCAACGCCTTCAACACCAGGTCTCCCTCAATGGGCGTGGTCAGTTGCGAGCTGCTGGCCGTGGCCCTTGACCCCGTCGCTAATCCATCATGGGATGTATATGAGATCATCATGAAAAAATAATGTGATAGAAAAAGTTATAGTCCTCGCACGATTATATTTAGCAGTGTGTGCATCTCAACTAGATCAATAGCGCTTTTTAAATACATCATGTGCACGTTTATCTTTCAGTCGGTTCTGGTAATGAGCGTACGCTTATTTACTTACTTTAACGTGCGCTTTCCGACATTATGCGTATTTCATACACGGCTGAACGTACGTTGCACACCCTGCTAAATAAAGCCGCTCGCAGTCACCTGACTGTTGACCTTTGCCCGGATTGTAGTCACGTGATGAGAACTCAATGAGAACAAAAAGGATATTTCTAGAAAAATCGCACAATGCATTTTTTGTCATTACTGAAGGTAATATTTCTTGTCGCTTGAACGGCGTTTTTTTGCTTTAAGTGTATTAACCCACATGCAGCTATCGTCTTTCATTAATAATAACGATATTCTATGTCAAGAGGCGAGGACTATAGGTTCAACAGTTTGCCTTCAACTTAAGGTCTCCGTATATGGGCGTGGTCAGAAGCGAGTTGCTAGCCATGGCTCCTCGTTCCGCCGCCAATGCAACATGGGATGTGTATACGATGAATGGTGTTCAGAGTACAGCAGAGTGTGTGAGTGAGTTGGGGTTTACCCCGCTGTTACCAGTTTACCAGCTTTATCACAGCAGTAGATACCACAAATGGTCTCCACTGCTCCCATGCAACGAATCAACCCCGGCCTTCTGCGTGACGAGCGAGCATTTTGATAATTAGGCTAGGCCTGGGAATCATTAGGCATACGCCTGGAAAGTTACTGACTGCGGCGGTGAACAACATTCACTTTGGTAACTTTTAAAATTCTGAAAAAAGGGCAGTTTCTAAAGTAATAAATATCATTTTTATATAATGGGGGCGGTCGGGTAGCCTAGTGGTTAAAGCGTTCGCTCGTCACGCTGAAGACCTGGGTTCGATTCCCCACATGGGCACAATGTGTGAAGCGGCGTAAAACCATACTCACTCACTCACTATCATATAATAATATCACATTATAATTAAAATGGCGTATTTTTTAGCTTTCATAGATTTTTAAACGGAGAAAAATTTCACTTCTTTTTAAATAAGGGATATCATGGTATTTAATGTTCTAAAACAAATGTATGGAACCGTCAAGGATGTGTTTAGACTCAGTGTAACAGCACACTATTTTGCAACTTATTTCGGAGTACGCTGAGGGTGTATTTTTTCAGCCCTCTTCTGTTTTCTTTCTTTACACTGAACTTGTAAATCGTGGGTATGCTGCATGTTGTTTGTTTGTTTGTTGTTTAACGCCACACTACGTCAGTATTCCAGCTATATGACGGCGGTCTGTACCCTGACAATCCAATGATTGATATCATAAGCATTAGTCCACGCAATTGGGATACGATTACATGCATCAACCAAATCAGCGAGCCTGACCACCAGATCCCGTCAGTCGCCTCTTACGACAAGCATGGGTTAACCCGAATTTTGATGGGTTATATTCTACATTTAGTCATGACATTTTGTTACTTGGGGCAATTGAAGGTATATTTATGATGATGACGATGTAACATTTTCTTATTCTATTTTTTTTTTTATCTTCAGAGACAACTTGATTGTATTTCACCTTATTGTGATCATTGGGATTAGAGCTACATTTCGAGAAAACAATGTATTTAAGGAATGGTGGCATCATGTCACGTAATGACTAAAATTGTTGTCCCCGGTTTGTTTTGGGACAGCTCGCCCAAACACACCTGTCGCTCAACGTTTTGCACCTTCTTTTGAGAATCTCGGGATTTTCTTGTTCAGTGTATGCAAATAGACAACGTCCAACAACTTCACATCAGGAGTCGACATATTCTCCGGTCGGGGATCCTGAAATAAGAACGTTATGAAGAAAGATCAGCTTTGAAAAATAACTGCCAGAGACAGAATAGTTTCGGCACCAAGACCTAACGCCCCAACATCCCCGAGCCATCACAATTGGACCTTGCAATTACCCCGTGTTCGTGAATGTCAATTTTGACAGTTCAATGAAAGGCTGTCAAATTGCTCTGTTATAGTGTGCCATTTGCTCGAGTATTCCTTGAGGATGTGATATTTCATAAAATACCATATGTAATTATGCTTAACATATTTGGTCTGTAAATAATCGAGTCTGGGCCAATCAATCCAGCGGTCGATATCATGAGCATCGAATCATCGGCATACGATGACATGCATCAACCAAATCAGCGAGCCTGACCACCCGATCCCGTCAGTCGGCTCTTACGACAAACATGGGTTGCATACAGTCATGTCATGTCATGTCATGTCACTAGGGTCTCACGGATTTCATTACTTAAGCAAATGGGCACCAAAATTAGAATAACCGGTGGCGCAAGGCCCTTATTTTTCTTTGTTTCAATTAGTTTAAGTCCCCTTTCAATATACATTTATTAGGTTAGCTATGCGAGCCTTGTTAAATCCAAGAACAACATATGAAAATATATTATGGCAAGTCAATCTTAGTCATAAACCTGAAACAATAATGACTCAATTCGACCTGTGCAATCTACCACGTCAAAAGTTTGGTCAGTGTAACCGCAGGGCAGAGTCATCCAAATCACTCTGCCTCTGTTATAAATTTTGGTGGCGGGGGGGTAGCCTAGTGGTTAAAGCCTTCGCTCGTCACGCTGAAGACCCGGGTTCGATTCCCCACATGGGCACAATGTGTGAAGCCCATTTCTGGTGTTCTCCGCCGTGATATTGCTGGAATATTGCTAAAAGTGGCGTAAAACCTTACTCACTCTCACTCCAATGGCCGGAACTAAAAATAAGTTCGTTATATACGTCGGTTCGTTACAAGCATGTTTGTTATAAACGGGTGGGGTGGGGTGGGGGGTGGGGGGTGGGGGGTGGGGGGTGGGGGGGAAGGGGTGGGGGGGGGTCGGGTGGGGGTCGGGGGGGGGGGGGAGGGCGTTGTCCAGGGGGTAGTATGTTGCAGGCAGTAAACTCTACACTGAGAGGATTTTGATATTTTGGACCCCTCCCTTTTAAGAGTTCTGTGAGGTAAGCTCCTTTCACGTGTCGTTACCTGAATAACATTTGAGTTTTTGTTGTAAATGTGGGAGTTTTGCTACTGGTGACACCAGATACTTGTAGTTGCTTGCGCAACGCCAGCAACACCATTTTCGTCTTACTAGCGTTGGCGATACTTGTTTTTCGTTTATATGTTGTTGTATGTGTAATCTCTATAGACATGTTCCATTTACTTAAACCTATGTATGTTATTAATATCTGCGATACTGTATTATTCCATCTGTGTACAACCTATCATTATCTATATAGGTACCACATATATACTCTGCTCCACATCTTGGCTTGGACTCTCGCCCCTCGCACACGTCCTTCCAAGCTCTCCAAACCACCAAGCTGACAATGAGAGGCCTCTCAATGTCGTTACCGAGGGAGCTTGTCTCCATCCTGGAGCCCTTGCTGGCCTACCGGGTTGGGGACTACTCCCTCAGGACTTCCTACAAGTCCAACACCTCCACGCTCTCCATCTCCTTCGACCTTGGTCAAAGGAAGAGACATCTGGTCAAAGCCCCGGCTAAGACCAAGCCTCAGATGGCCCGAGCCCCAGCCCCTAAACCTCCTGCTCCCCGCCCGGCGCAGAAGAAGGGGCCCCCACGGGTAAAGAAGATTCCTCCTCCAGTCCTCGACATGGAGATAGAGACTTCCCTCCCTACCACCCAGACACCCCCGGTAGCTGCGTTGGACCTCCTGGGAGGATCTCGTCGCTAAGCACCATGCTCGCCCGCCAACGCCGTGCCTTCCCACGCTTGACCCCCTCCCTCCGAACCCACGCCCAAACTTTTCCATAATTTTGAGTACTTTTTTACCACCCAGCCAAACCCCCTCCCCCCGCAGCTTTATTAGATTAGGTCTGTAAAAGTTACATTTTTTTGGGTCGCACTTCTTTATTTATTCATTACGCTTTTTTTCTCCCAATAGTATAAAGTGCTTCCCCGTGTGCGAAATACGCTATTAGTCGGAAAGCGCACGTAAAATCTCCTAGTTTGAACTGAACTGAACTCTGCTCCTGGAATAAACTCTATAACGCACAAGTCGCTTTTTGTCTTTTGTATCTACATTATTCTTACTTTAAGGACGAGAAAGCTTGAGACGAACGCGATCTCAGTTCTGGGCTAGTATTGTTGATTTTCATTATACATTTACACGCAAGCTCTCAACTCTTGCTTCAGACCGCCTCTGTGGTCTAGTGGTAGAGCATCTGCCTGGGAGGGGAAAGTCGAGGACCCCATCCCCGGCCGCGTCATACCAAAAGACGGTACTTGATGTTACCCTGCCTGGCGCTCGGGATTAAGGGGCTAAAACAAAGACTGGCCGGCTCGGAGTCAGTCTACTGTGTCTGAGTGGGGTATTCATGTTATACTGCAGCATTGTATCTCAGTGGGCTGCCATATAGCAACACACACACGCACGCACGCACGCACGCACGCACGCACGCACGCGCACACACACGCACACACACACACACACCAGGCTTTACGAAATCAAGCCTAAACAGCCAATCAAAAAGTTCTTCACTGTGCCAGGCCGTCGGAGTTCTTGACCAGACAATTAGAAATCGCCTGCATGCTCGGCGACCACGTGTTGTACCACTGTTAACAAATTGGCACATTCTTGCCAGACTCCAGATGAGACCAGTGTCACTCTGGACAGGCGTCGTGCGAGGGTCTACGTCAAGCAACATGCCAGATTTGGGGTGAGTTTGTAGTTATATGAGGCTTGATCTTCATGACAACCAGAAGGCCACTGTATAGTTTCCACACACTCACACACACCTCCCCCCTGCCATCATCCCCACGTGTACACACGTCCTGGGACTAGGAGACACACACTCACACACACCTCCTCCTTGCCACCCTCCCCACGTGACAAGGGTCTAGGATACACACACTCACACACCCCTCCCCCTAGCCACCCTCCCCACGTGTACACACGTCCTGGGACTTGGAAAAACACACTCACACACACCTCCACCTTGCCAAACTCCCCACGTGGACAGACGTCCTGGGACTAGGAGACATACACTCATACAACCCACCCCCTTGTCACCCTCCCACTATCTGGGACTAGGACACATACATTCATACAACCTATCCCCTTGCCACCCTCCAACGTCCTGGGACTAGGAGACAGACACTCATACAACCCACCCCCTTGCCACCCTCCCACGTCCTGGGACTTGGAGACATACATTCATACAACCCACCCCCTTGCCACCCTCCCCACGTCCTGGGACTTGGAGACATACACTCATACAACCCACCCCCTTGCCACCCTCACCACGTCCTGGGTCTAGGAGACATACACTCATACAACCCTACCCTTGCCACCCTCACCACGTCAACTTTCCCTTTATGTCGAGAAATATTCCTGCAACTAGAGTCTTTGGTGTTTATATTTCACAAGATTTCAAAGAGCGTCATAAGACTCTTGCAGAGAAGTTGTTTGATCAAGGTTACAACTTCCAAGGCTCAGTAAAGCTTTCAAAAAGTACCAAATTTGACGCTACAGTGACAAAAATGATGCCCGATGTTCTCGTGTGGTTTTCTTGGGGGTGATCAAATGACTTGCCTTTGCATGTGTTTGTGACGGTTGTCATCGTGGGGGCATGATACGATCACCTTGTCGCGAACACCTAGTATCACTATGGGTTCATGTTGAGGCGCGATTCCACGATCTTATCGCATTGCTTTCGACTAAATAAAATAAAACAAAGGCGACAATTTAGTGTTTGCGCACTACATCATACGGATCAAATACCAAGTTCATAGACAATAGAAAATGCTAGAAAGTCTTGTTTACAATAACTTGTATTTCTAAGCTTTTGTGAACTAACTTCTCCATAACAAGACTTTCAAAAGAACTTCAGATGAGTGGGATTTTGAAAAAGGAGTGCGTCAGACTGATTGGACGCGAGATGTGTATGTTACAGTGTGTTCGAAGTATCGATTAAAACGTTATCATTATACTCACTCGTTATCCATTCAGTGTTTGTTGACACCCACCAATGCATTGTCATCAGGAAACAGGGTCGTCATGGATAACCTCAGACAAATTACCTCAAGATTTGAATCACTTGATTGCAGTATAGTGAAGTAGTTGATTTAGGAGGACGATGGCTAAAGCGTCGGTGTGTGTGCTGATTGCTACTGTGCTCAGTGCTACAGGTTTGTTTCTCTTTATGTTTATGTTTAGTGTGTTTATTTATACAGTAAACATCCACTACATGTTTCAATTCATATGACGTTATTCTATAAAGAAGGCGATCTAAGGATAATTTTAATGTCTCTTATTTTTAAGTTTTCTATCAGATTACCGCAAGTATTTCCAAACGATCTAAATGTATATATGTATCTATATGTATATATCTATATTGCTTGTTTTAATGTCGAACAGATCACAGTTTGGTGTTTAGAAAACCTGAAAGAAATATTCGAAACCCTCGGTGCCACAGACATAGCTGCATTAAGGCTAAACTATAAGTTTCATCCAACTGTTTAACCATTTCCACTGATTGAGGTATTCAAAACTTCATGCAAGTACGACCAATTTTGATACCATCCAACCTTATTTAACGGGCGGCTCATTCGTCAAAGGCGCCGCAACTCGCCGTGCAGAGTTGCGTCCCTTGGGCGCACCAGAAACATCTGATTGTGGGTTCGAATCCCGGTTCGCCCCGATAATGTTTCTAGGTTTGTCAGCACCATACCCGTGCTCGTGTGTTGCAACAAAGTGGTAAACTTCGAACTTTCCTCCCACATTATAACTGGAATACTCTTCGAAGCGGCGTTGAGCCCAGCTTACTCACAAACTCATTATTTAACACACAGACAGAGGGACGAAAGGCGCCATATAACCGGGTCACGGGCTTGTTTCGGGACGTTAAAGTCTAATATTTCTTAAAATTGTTTTTCAACAACCACATTCTCTCGATCCAGGTCGGGATCTGCCGAACCTTGCACTAAACAAGCCTACAGAACAAAGCTCAGTATATAAAACATGGACATCTGATCTGGCTGTTGACGGCCAAAACGGCACTCACAGTGAAGCCAGACAATGTGCCCATGTGGCGGAAGCAAAGGGTGTGGTAGAGTGGTGGCAAGTAGACCTCCAGCAGACCTTCTCGGTCCTAACTGTCTCCATCACCAACAGGGGGGACCGTCATTGTAAGTAAAATAAACAATAATATCTATTTTCGTATATCGCATGTATAGTGAGGCTGAAACACGAACTGAAACTTAAATTAAACACACACACACACACACACACGCGCACGCACGCACAGACAGACGGACACACACACTTAGCAATAATCGATGTATTTAATTCCGCGTCTGACATTTCTAAACGCTAAGACGTTCTTTGAAGATGTTTCACCGTTTTTTGTACTTTTCTTTGAACATATGCCACCGTGAGGCAGTAACCGCTCACCTTTACGCATGAATGTGTGTCTTGCATTGGGTGTTAGCAGGGTGTTAGTCTTTCTAATTTACTGTTTGGTTTTTAGAGTTAATACTAAGAATGATCTTAATTATTGAAGTACCTGCAACAATCTTCCACAGACGCAGGGAACACAAACTGGTTAGTGCTTATATTTTATGTCCGACTGATATACAATAATATCACACTTTCATCACGTCATCAAGGAGGATGATCAGGTCAAATTGTTACACTTATCTATGGCTATCATACGCAGCAAACCATTCCGATCACATGTAACTTCCAGGCAAACCAAACTAACATTACCTTTAACATTTCGTAGTATGAATGACTGGACCGTGATCCAGTGGAAAAAGCATCTTCCTGGAGAGCAGAAGGTCGGTGGGTCGAACCCGGGCCGCGTCTTATCAAAAGATGGTGCTTGGTTTCGGGATGACATCTCAGTGACATTTTCATGCACTGAAGTGAACCGTAATTAATATAACGATTCTAGTTGACAATGCACATCTGTGGTTTGCTTGAGGAATTCCAGATGGATAAATTATACTACTCAAAAGAAGTTAAGTATCACCTGATTCTTCCATATAATAATAGTTAATCTCTCATGCCATGACAGATTAACATTACCAATATGAAAGAATCGGGTGATCCTTAACTTCTTTTGAGTAGTATATATCGTCGGCTTGAACACAAATGTGCAGTGAACAAACAATACAATGCTACATATTGGCCGTAAAGGGAATATTTTGTTGTGACAACCATATCTGTAACAAGGTTCCAACCGGATTCAAATTTCCTAATATTGATTTGTAATTGTGAATAACCATGAACACAACACCGGAATATAACATGAAATAATTATTGCACATTATTCTACTGCTTTACTGTAAGATCATATAACACTACAGCATTAATTAATCACCTCCAGTCAAGTTAATGATACTTTGCATAAATGACACGATCGTTAAGTGTTTGCTTTTCTTACTCTGAATATTATAGTTGACAGCTGATATAGCGTTTGATTCCACCATCAGACGAGCCTATGCTACGATGGTTGTTTGCCTCTCTTGGTTACACGTGTAGCGTGTGCGCTCGTGCATAAGTGAATCAGTGGAATAAAACTTTAGCATTTTATTATCATGTTGGTAGACTCATAACAACCGAAGTATATCGATTTATCCTCACTTAAATATACTGAACCAAATTAAAAACTTCACAATCCTAAAATTTTAACATTTTGACTGGTTATCATTGTGGGCCCTTATTGTGAGTGAGTGAGTGAGTATGGTTTTACGCCGCTTTTAGCAATATTCCAGCAACATCACGGCGGGGGACACCAGAAATGGGTTTCATTATTGAGTATTTAAACAGTAATGGCCACGTATTGTCTTCAGATAACACCCGTTTTTGTGCAGGTGAGTCGATCAAAATCCTGTGCACAGCATAATAGTAGCAAAAGTGTTTTTTTCACGTGCAACTGGTCACGTGACCCTAATACCGCACCTGTTTTAAGCCATACTTGTTAGCAGTCATTAACAACAACAAAAGAAAACACAAGAAAACAAAAGTCTTTTCAGCCATTTGTCATGCCACGCCTTTCAAACGTGCAACGTGAACGTGCCATCGGCATGTTGCAGACGGGAACGTCCGTAGCTGAAGTCGCAAGGACGATGGGTTGTAGTCGACGGACTGTTTATGATTTGCAGACGCGTCTACATGTACAGCAAACGGGTACCACCGCTGATCGCCCTCGGCCAGGTCGACCACGTGTGACATCACATGCAAAGGATCGTCAGATTGTCTTACGTCACCTCCGTAACCGATTTTTGACGGCTACATCAACCAGAAATGAACTGTTTAGGGGTAGAGTGAGTGCGCAAACTGTTCGAAACCGTCTGAGAACTGCTCACCTTCAAGCACGACGGCCATACTGCGGGCCGATTCTGACTCAATTACACAGACGTCAACGTCAATTGTGGGCACAGCGACACTTACGATGGACTCAGAGGATTTGGAATCAAGTCGTCTTCAGTGATGAATCCCGATTTAATCTTCGATTTGCTGATGTTAGGGCGAGGGTGTGGATGCGCCGTCATGAACGTTACGCCCAGTGTTGTGTACAGGAAGTTGACAGATTTCGACGCGGAAGTGTCATGGTGTGGGGTGCTTTCTTCGGCAATGCACGTTCCAGGTTTCTTGCCATCCGTGGCAACCTCAACGCTGCTGCTTAACCGCGACCAGGTACTGGCACCAGAACTCCTGCCTTTTATGGCAGCACATGGACCCGGTTTGATCTTCCAACACGACAATGCCAGACCCCACACAGCAATTTTGACATGAATTTCCTTCAGAATGCGGGAGTCAACGTCATGGACTGGCCGTCGAGGTCTCCCGACTTCAATCCCATCGAACACGTCTGGGATGCTCTTGGCAGAAGTCTGCGCACTCTCCAGAACCAACCACAGAATTTGCAAGATCTTGGCACCATTTTGCAGCAACAATGGCGTCGTCTTCCCAATCATGTGTTCACAGGCATCACAAGGTCCATGCGGAGGCGTTGTGTGGCAGTTGTCAACGCACATGGTGGTCATACACGCTACTGAACTTGTGTGCCATCGTGCTTCGGACTTATGATTTAAACTGTTGATGTAATACCGAATACCGTAGGTGCTTGGAACAAATTATGGTTACCACCGTTAATCAAAATCCTTCTTTGGACATTAATGATTATAAATTACCTTCTCTGATATATCTGTCCGTTGTGTATCATATATGGGATAACTTTTTAAATGTGAAGTTTTTAATTTGACTCAATTATATAGCAGAAGTTATATTTACAAAGATGTTTCAGAACAGGGAGGGGAAAAGTCACATGCTAACTTCATACTCAAAAAAACCTTCAAATAGAAAGCGTGTGTATTTTGTGCATAAAAAAACATATTTGACTGTTTGTACTTTCATACACTGTAATTACAAAACATGTCAGATAGCTTTGACTATCATATCTGACTCATTCGAATGAGATGTATGACCATTACGGTAAATTAACCCTAGTAAATACAGAAAAAGAGTCAACAATTGCTAACAATACTGAACCAATGGCCCATTAAGGAGTCAATTGGATTCTAGCCCATTCACTTGTGGTTAAGGAAGTCCGAGCAGGGCAAGAGACAACAAGATAACAAGTCTTCACGAAACCTATCTGTTCGATGAAGGAGAAACAGATCTTTGTTTACTGGATAAACAGATGACCCATGATCATTTATATAACTAATGACTGATAACTAATAACTACATGACTGCCCATGGCTTCGAGGTTTTTGTTTTGTGCTTAACAAATATATATGAATATATATTTGTATGCTGCTTATTTTGGTGTGTCTTTAATAATGCGCTTGGACAAACTAGATGTCTAACGAGTGATACATGACTACACAGGTGCGTGAGGACCTACTCACGCTTGCTGATGGGATACAAACCCTGATCATGATGATTTGTTTTGTTTATATAAACTGACGTCCAAAAGAAACTTTACAAGAGTTTGAAATCCTCTTGCTCAAAAACAACAAAATATACATGCATGAAGTAAAGTGTATTGAGAAGATCAATATATCAACATAATCAACACTGAAAATGACAATCATACCGCGACCGAGAATGACGTCAGAGCCCCCAAAAGTTGGGTGTGGTACAAAACACGAGCTTTCAGAATCATGGACAATAGGCAGAGTACATAAAGTCATTAGTAGCGTGTGTGACCACCAAATGCCTCAATACACGCAAAAACTCTTCGACGCACAGAAAAAGTCAGTGGTCTGAGGAGGTCACGTGGGATTTGACGCCATTCGTCTTGGAGGGCCAAGATCAGTTCTTGCCAGTTGGCTGGAGAGTGTGGTCGTTGTCGAACACGACGATCCATCAAGTCCCAGAGGTGTTCTTTGGGGGACATGTCGGGCGAGCGTGCAGGCCACGGCAGGACGTTGACGTTGTTGGCTGCGAGGAAGTGACAATTATGGCTGCATGGGCTCTGGCGTTGTCATGCTGATAAATGACACCACGTGGCTACTGTTGGAGAAATGGTAGGTGTTATGTTAGTTATTCCTTCAAAATCAGGACGGACGCAGGAGTGTGTTTGAGACACGTTCATTCGTGAGTGCTACATCATGACAACTGTGGTTGTCTCCCTTTGTGCATACCACTACATCTCCCCTTCCAGGAGAAAGCAAGTTAACAATACTTTCAACTGTGCCTTGACAATGAAACATTATAATGCATAGAAACAAAACAAATCAAGATTCACTCGCACAACATTGTGAACACAGCTTTAGCATACCCAAGACCTCAGGGTTACAGAATAATAAATCTCTCAACCATACACAATGAATACTGACTCACTTGTCAAACTTTAAATGAGAGAAAGTCTTAGTATCTATCTGGCTTTCTTGAGACTCTGCCAGATCGTGTTATGTAAACTGAGGAGTCATTTGTTTGTTTCAGACATGGATCAGGATTTGGTTCAGGTGAGTGTTCTTTTTCAGGCACATTCGGAACTTGCTTTTCAGGAACATTTGGTAACAAGTTAATGTCACGTCTATTCTGCCTATAGGTTCCATCGTCAGTCTTTACGAGGTAAGACCGAGGACTTAGCTGTTTGAGCACAGTACCTGTTTCTTTCCTGTCTGGTACCCATGCATTATCTCCCCTTTGCAAAACAGGAATTAAGCAC